AAAGAGAATTTAGAAGGTACTGGAGGCCTTGCCACCGTCAAGGTTCTTTTTCCCTCTAGTAAGGTATTAACATTAAGACAGTTGGGAGCTTCCTGGAGGAACGTTAAACTCTGCCTGCCTCAAGTATTTGTCAATGGGCTGCAGGTTAAAAGGACATTTAATTTTATCTACATTTCCTTCTGAAAGCTAGGTTATTGATAAGAACGCTTTTTCCTTGTAAATCACTAAGACATTTGTAAACTGAAGGAGACTCACGTCTTGCAGGACTGTGATCTCTATGAGTTAACCATTTGTTTTCCTTCCCTTAGCTTTAGGGCAACCAGGAGTGACTGAGGAATGTCACACAGATCCCACCTGGGAGTGGGGGTGCGGGAGGGTTGTGGGGTGTCAGCTTGTGCTTTGTCCTCAGCTTGCCTTCTGCTTCCTCATCAATAAGATAGGTGTGAGACCTCCCCAGGACCAGAAGAGGAAGGTCACCTGGCAAGGAACACAGACAGTAAAAGGGAAAGAAACCCAGCCCCTTCTGATTGGGTACAGGTGACTCATAGCTAGAAGTGGGTGTATGAGTTTGCTCCGGCTGCCTGCCGTAACAAAGTACAGCAGACCCGGGGGCATAAACAACAGAAACCAACTTTCTCCCAATTCTGGAGGCCAGAAGTCTAAGATCAAGGTATTGGCTGGGTTGGTTCTTCTGAGGCCTCTCTCCTTGGCTTATAGACGGCTGCCATCTCCCTGTGTCTCCTCCGTATGGTCCTCCCTCTGTGGGTGTCCGTGTCCTAATTTCTTCCCATAAAGATATCAGTCATATTAGATTAGGGTCTACACCAGTGGCCTCATTTAACCCTAACTACCTTTTTAAAGAGCCTGTCTCCAAAAACACTCCCACTGTGAGGGACTAGGAGGTTAGAGCTTCAACAGATGAATTTGAGGACACAATTCAGCCCGTAACAATGGGTTTCAGAAATAATCATTTTCAAACAGCATCCCTTCAAGATGTCTTTGAAAATGCCATCCTCTTTCTGCTGCAATAAAGGGAACTTAGGAAGGGGGTTGGGGTTTCGTAGGAGGAGTGGCCCAGCAGCAGGAAGCAACAGTGAGAAACCTCAGGGAAATTGAAACTGAAGTCAGACTGCTTAGCTTCCTACACCCTTTCATCCAAAACCTCACTGGGTGTTTTGTTTTGTTTTGTTTAAGATTTTATTTATTGATTTGAGAGAGAGGGAGAGAGCATGACCCGGGGGGGGGGGGCAAAGAGAGGGGGAAGGAAAGGCAAAAAGAGGGGGAGGGAGAAGCAGACTTCCCACTAAGCAGGGAGCCTGATGCTCCATCTCAGGACCCCAGGATCACGACCTGAGCCGAAGGCAGACACTTAACCGACTGAGCCACCCAGGCGTCCCATGGGTGCTGTGTTCTGTCTTCATTACTAAGAGCATCATTCTCTCTTGTTTATTTGTGTATTTACAGTTTCATTTTTGAATTAAGTTTTTACATACGGTAAAATTCACCTGTTAGTGTGGAATTCTATGAATGTTGACAAAAGTATACACTCGTGTAACAACCACCACAAGGAGCATATAGAAATATTCCATCATTCCCGTCTTCCCTTAGAGTCCCTCCCCTTCCAATGGCTGGCAGCCACTGCTAGGTTTCCTGACCCTATAGACTTGCCTTTGTGAGAAGCATCATACTCTCTTAATTTACAAACAATGCTGACAGATTTTAAAGACCAAAGCATAACAGAAGCAGCAAATTAGAACTGGGGATTGGAGTGGAGAGAAGCTACCCTGACTGCAAGAAGCTAAATAGGAGACACAACGAATTTGGGGGCCGATTGGCATAGATCCCACCCTGCAGGACAAAGTCAGTGACCCCCACAGCGTTTAGGATAAGACCCAACTCCTCACCGAGCCTGTCCCCAAGCCTCCCTGCTGTCACCCTGCACCCGCTAGGCACCAGCTCCCTCGGGCTCCTTCCTGCATTGGCACGCTTGCTGTAGATGCTTCCCGTGTCCACAACGCTCTGCCTCCTCTTGTCACATCTGCTCCCCTTTTCTGACTTTCAGGCATCAGATGACCCAGCTCCTGAGCCACCCATCGCTCACCTGCCCTCGCAGTGCCCTGTTCAGTCTTCTGCACGGCACCTGACACCACCTGCTGTTTTTCTTGTCGACACAGTTATTCCATCTGTTGAGCACCCGTGAGTACCAAATGCTGTTTTAGGGATCAAGACAAGAACATGAATAAAACAAGTCCCTGTCCTCCTAGTGGAGATTATTTCCCAGTGAGGGGAGACAGTCCAACACAAACGAAGAATTATAGAATATTTCAGGTTGTGAGAGACGCTGTGGAGGAAATGAAGCCAGGCCCAGGGAAAGCACAGAGGCTGTTGGGGCTGAGGCAAAATAATAAGGGGACGGTGGTAGGATTTGAGCTTAAAGAGGGTGCAGCTCATATAGGACATTGGAGGCTGTTAAAAAAGCCTTGGGAAACCATCAAGGACTTTAAAGAGTGGAGTGACACCATCTGACATTTTATAAAAGGAGGAAGAATATAGGGAGCCCCTCCCTGTTAGGAAGCTATTTCTATGATAGGGGGATATGGTGGCATGGACCAGGGTGCTGGTGGTGCAGGGGTGAGACACAGGGATTCGTGGGGCTGCTGGGATGCTCACACGCTGCTGGTGGAAGTGCAAGAGGGTACAGCCACTTTGAAAAACTGGCTGTTGGTAATAGAGTTGAACATTCCTCACCCTATGACCCAGCAGTGCCACTCCTAGGTATTATACTCAAGAGAATTGAAAACATATGTACACAAAAAGACTGGTAGGAGAATGTTCATGGCAGCACTGTTGTGACCACCATATTTGGGGATGCATGGATCAGTGAGCAGACACGCATCTTCTGGAGACGGAACACGAGAGTGCTGCCCAGAGCCAGAGCAGCGTTTCACAGGACAGGAGGCCATGCTAGAGAAGGTGGCCGGAGGCATGGAAAAAATGAAATCATGTTTAGAGTCCTGTGTAGGGAGACAGAGAAGTATTTCATCCATTATTCAAAGTTTAGCAATCAAAAGTGCTGAGCAATCAGGAGAGTTGAGTAGTGTTGAGATGGGAAGGATTACTAGTTATTTGCATAGGGTTAGAAGTTAAACAACTCCTGATGAGAAGTTTGCACTGGGGAACTGCTCCTTGGGGAGCATGATATAGCCTGGTTGGTCCACATACAGTATGAGAAACACATTTATAGTCCTAGAAACGTACTGGTGCCAGAAGTGACTTACAGCTTAGGTAGGCCAGACTCTGTGCCCAAATGAAGAAGGTCTGTCCTGGGTGCGGCACACAGCCTCTGCCGCCTCTGACTCCAGCATGCACTGCATCTGCCTCCCCAGGGAGAGAGTGTCGAACTGGGACTACCCATGTGTCATTTGTACTCTGATCTCAGGCATCCTGTGCCCCTTTCAAAGAGGTCATCCTTGGAGGAAATATATTTATTTATTTATTTATTTTAAAGATTTTATTCATTTATTTGACAGAGAGACACAGCAAGAGAGGGGACACAAGCAGGGGGAGTGGGAGAGGGAGAAGCAGGCTTCCTGCCGAGCAGGGAGCCCGATGCGGGGCTCGATCCCGGGACCCTGGGTTCATGACCTGAGCCGAAGGCAGACGCTTAACCACTGAGCCACTCAGGCGCCCCAAGGTTGGACACTCTTGAAGTGGAAATTGGTATGCTCCATTCTTTCTTTATAGAATTGTGAAATTAACCTCTCTTGCTTTGGCTGCCAGAAACCTCAGAGACAGCCCCTTTACAAAATATTACTTGCTATTTATACTTCAATCACTTGGACATGCGGCTCTGATAAAGAAATCAGCTTGAAATACAGATAATGCTACCTAAATTTAACAAACCATTCCATTATGTGATTTTCATTATAATCGTTTTCAGTCACTGTAAAATTAATGCCACCGTCCTTTCAGAAAAATTGGAAAACACAAAAAAGCGAGAAGTAAAAAAAAAAAAAAATCACTGTGATTTTTATTATTTTAATGTAACCTTGTGATGATTTTTGGTTGTATTTCATTCCAATCTTTTTCTTCTTTAAAATTCAGTTTCTAGGGACGCCTTGGTGGCTCAGGTCATGATCCCAGAGTCCTGGATTTGAGCCTCATATCGGGCTCCCTCCCTGCTCAGGGGAGAACCGGCTTCTCCCTCTGCCCCTCCCCCTGCTTGTGCTCTCTCTCTCTCTCTCAAATAAATAAAATCTTTAAAAATATAAAATTCAGTTTATACTACTCTGTTCAGGTGTAGCAACTTCCATAGTCCTATTTGTTTTGTCATGATTTCCAGAAAGTTGTTTTCCTGATTGTTTTTCTCTTTTGTTGGGAGTCACGTGGTTCTGCTTTGGCTGTGCCGTTGTGGCGATATCTGGGCACAGGCACTGGTGAATGGCTTCATGAGGTTATTACCGGGAATCACAAACCCCCGCCCCGCAACCCGGCTACTCCAAGAACAGCTCGTGAGGATTCTGAAAGCCCTTCCCAGCAAGGAACATTAGAAATAATCCCTGCATCGCCGGAATGCGTGACCAACCTCCCCAGATGGCCACCTTGATAGGGACCACTGTCTGAGGGTGGAAGTCCACGGTATCCTCGGCTGATCTGCCAGGCGGGAGTCGCGGTCTCCAGCAGGGCTCTAGGGACCGGGCTCTAGGGACCCGGCTCCCGCACCGCGCGTGGGGGTTTCCCAGTAGGCGCCGGCGGGGGGCGGGCCGGGGGCGGGGTCGGCCGTGGCGGGCGGGAAATAAAGGAAGTGGGAGCGCGGCGGCTGCGTACTGCGCGCCCCGGCGACTTTGCCGCTGGCCCGCCTAGCGCGGCTCCCGG